TTTTTCCGAACTTCATTTTTATCTGCAGTGTGGTGTGTCTAAAATAATACATAAAAAACAAAGGATTAAATTCCTAATAGTTTCCTAATAATTTTAGCATAAGCATACACAAACTTCAATATCGTAGTTAAATTAAAGTTAGATACTTACTTTTTCTTCATTCAAATCATTCCACGATGAATATGATTGATTAAAGTTCAAAATGTTGTTCACAAATATACGTTGGTTTTGTAATTTTACAATTGTATTTTTAAACAATTTGCATCTATTCGCTCCTGAGGTGAATACATTTTAGAAATTTAAATAGAGAACACTTTTTAACTTTACTCAATCGCGATTTTCATAATTAACAACACAGCAGACATTAACCATTTTAATAATAAAGTACCTATATGTATGCAATTACATATCATTAAAAGCAAATTGCATAAAATATAACTCTACATTTGGCCATTAATATATATTCTATATATTTATAGCCACCGTATTTCCTGCCGTTTTTCCTGTTATATTGTATCCGGTTTTTCCCAATTATTCTGAAAGTCTCATGAAAAATCGACAAATAATCTCTCCATCTAGGTGGTATCCTAGATTTCAAATACAACAATTTCTTTTTCAATTGGAGCAAGTTTTTTATTTTAAAGTTTGTTTACAGAGAAAAAAAAAATTTTAAAAAAATATGGTAAAACAAATCACATCTCACTCAAATCCAAAAAATTTGAATTTATTTAACGTGGAGAAATACAATAAATTATTATTAGACACGTAAAAATAGAGACGTTTTGACAATATTTTTCTATGCAAATTTTTTAACAATGCAGACATAAATTCTTGTGCTTGTGACGCAGTACACGCTATAAAAACGATGATTGACGATATACTAAAAAGCTTATCGGTCCCCCCTCCCCAAAAAAAAAAAAGAAAACGAACGTTCTTACTATACATTATTATTATATAGGGATGAAGTTTATACATGATAATAATACAAAAGAGACGGACTTGTGCGAGGACCCGCTCTTTCCCTAAATCTCAAAAGCTTTTCATTTTTTTTTTCTCTATAGCGAGTATATTATATGCTGTTGTACATATTGTGTATTAAACTTTTTTCGAGTATATTTTAATCAAACTGAACTGATGCAGCTCCGATGGTCAGACAATCCTCGGATTGGAGGAGTAGCACGCCGAAAAGACCTAATGTTAATGGATTTGAGACACAATCTCTTTTCTTTTTTTTACATATTACTATACCCGAGGAAAATGCTGCTGCACTACATTTTGCCAAAGTAGATTTTTTCTTCGAAAAACCGTACACAATGCTATACGTAGTTCGTCTCTTATAATGTAACTGTATTGATGATAACTATACTAAATACTTATTCCAAAATTGGATCACAGTCAACATTTTTCAAATTACTTTACACATTAAGAAAAACAAATTAGAGAGATCGTATAGGTTACCTATTTATTATACCTAAGGATATTTAAAAGTTAAGATCTTCTAAAGATATTTACAACTGGGAAATAGCATCAAAAGAATCCAATAGCAGGGTAGTATTTTTGAACTCCGATCCAATTGACTTAAGTAGTATTGTATATTTTGAAATTCTTAGTATGGAAGAAAACTAAACTTTTTAAAATGGAAAATATATATTACCTGTGATTTGTACATTTTTTTTTTTTACGAAAATATTTTTCGATGGATTTTTTCGTGTTAAAAATATGACGTTTTCTCCATACGTGGTTTTGAACTCGTACGACAAATCAAGTTATCGCGTACCATAAAACAAAAAATAATAAACCGGTTAATAATTTGAACATTGAGTTATAATATTATCATAATACTATAGGTAGGTACATTATAATATTATGTAGATTAAAATATATATGCACTATAAATAGGTTGCGTGCCTTAATAATGGGTTTTCACTAAAGTTGCCAGATTTCAAGATTAAAAATACAGAACTAAAAAATTGCCTTCTTCAAATACAGTGAAAACTCCCTTAACGAACACCTCCAAATAACGGACGAAATTTTGGTGACCGGGTGTCCGTTATTTAGAGGTTTCATTGTATCACAACGACGACGCTAGACATTTGTTTAATGAAAATATCATGAATTAAACTATAGGACAATCTTTACTTAATGTTTTTACCACTTTTAAGAAACTAATCTTTTTTAAAAATGATATCAGTTTTCTGTATATTTTTCTGTATACAACGGACATACGTGAGAACGCTCAGGAGCTTAGATCATTCAGGAGTCGAGACAGCTACACCACTACCGACGCCACGGAAAGGAGGAGCGCCGTCACCTCGACGCCAACCCGTTCAGTCTTTTATTTAGTGTACTTACACCTGATAGTTACAACTAAGTCTTGACCCGGGTCTAGTGTCTTACGGTTTTCACTTATAAATATAATATGTCAACCGTGTTTTAAAAAAAATATCATAAAAACGATTATAGACTAACGTATATTACCGCGGTGTGACCAGACTGTGAATTACAATAGTCCAAATAAGAATAATAATAATAATTTTCTTATCGACTAATCTATTTGATTACAAAATGCCAAATGGTAAAAATAATATAAAATTATAACAATCTATTAATAGAAGCGAAATCGGTATCGGTAGGACGGCCGACGGGTGGTGATAACTGAAATTATTACACATTGTTTTTGAAAAGTGAAAATAAAAACAAACGATAAAGTATGTTTATTCTATTATCTCAATACGAAAAAATAATACAATATATTTTATGGGCACATTTTTTGGGCAAACAAGACATTTCAGTGTCCCAACAAGGGTTGCCCGGACAACGGGACACTTCGTCAAAAAAAGGGACATTACCGTATTATACGGGACGTCTGGCAACCCGGGTATTCACCGCAGTTTCGCTGAGTGTAGAGTTGGCCGTGTGTTTATACAAAACTAAAGGTACCGTGGTTAAATGAAAATATAATATCCACGGAATTTAAATTAAATTGCAATGAGTTTCATTTTCGAATTTTCCTATTATTATACCAGTATAATAATAGTTTCAAGTTTGATCACAGATAATTATTATATAATTTTTTGTCCATCAGTTATGTTATGTTCGTTTGTGTCATTTGTGGAGAACATTATGCAAACGTACAACAAAATCGAGCAAAATGTTTAGTATATTTATCACGATAAAAATATGGAATATTTCTACTGGTTTAATTAATTAATTACTGAATAGACCAGTGCTGAAACAACTGAAAATACTGAAATTACAAGTATAAATAGCACTTCCTTCAATTTAGATTTAGGTGATTTGAACACAGGTCCTAAGCAGCTAATATTAGGTAAGAAATCTACACAGTGGTTTCAAATTCAAAATAGTTGGGTAAAATTATATTTTTTATTGCCTATACAAGTAACTAATAATAGTATTTATTTTTAAAAAAAATTCAATTTTTTTGATTAAAAGTATATTACCAAATTGTTTTACCAATTGAGGTTAAATTAAGTTGAAGTGTTTATTATATTATGATATCTTTATGGACATAAAGGAAATTATGAAAGTTATATTACTCAATAATACTGTATTTATAGATAAACTTAATAGTTTATCTAAATATAACCTAAATAATAATTTGTCTATTTTTTCAATGAACATAAGAAGTATGAGATTACATTTAGATGAATTAGAACTCCAGTAGCCCAGTCCTCCTTGAGGCCATACAAGGGCAATGCGAAGTTGAGGCCCTACACAATAAACAACACAAACCCAAAAAAAACAAGGAACCGGAAAATATTGGAGCTAATGGAAATGAAAATATGCCGACTTCCGGGGACCCTCAGAAGATAACCCTATGAGAAACTGAGCTCGTCATCATCAACGTCAAGCAGAATCCCTTCTAACACGGGAAAGCTAAAGAACCTGGCTAAGCAACAAAACGCTATTTTGAGCACTCTATTTAAGGAAATTGACTCCTCAGTAGCTTTCAGGGGTACAATTAGATCGGAAAAATCAAAAATTCAATCAGCAATCTGAAGAGCTGGCACCTCGACTAAACGGTAATAGGTTACCTTTTTATGAAGCTCGAAACCAAAATTTTAGTGGCAGCCCAACAGGAATCCTCAGTTGGTATCTCGGTGACAATTGAAAAGAGGCTCGAGGACCATGATGCTGAGGCTGGGTAAATTCCTCATATTCCCTCCGGACAAAAAAGAGAGGAAACCTCATCCATCCTCCAGCATAAACGAAGGAACAAAATTTGTAGAAAATGTGCAGACACCTGGCGAGAATAGTTATCTTGTTCCCATACTTCAGATCCAAACAGTGGAATAAGTCCTGTACACAAAAAAAAAAAAAAAAAAGATTCAACAAATATACAAATATAAGAACGATTATTATTTTAGGGATGATATTATTATCAAATCATTTGTATTAATCATTAGAGCTTGTGATTTTCGAATTATTGTTTCGAATACTAGGATCAAATACCAGCCAACCCCATCCCACACTCAGATTTGTAACAGATACTTGATAGTTGCAGATAGTTGTGAATTATATTATTTAATATAATTTTCATTATATCAATAAATATATAAAAATATACTAATGATTATAAATTTACAAGACGGTAGGACGTTTCCTATAATTACCTTTCGGGTTAGAATAGGAGTTCGATACCGAGGGTGATGACCCTAATGGTAAAAATATAATATGGGCGCGATTAAAGCACGCAGCTTCAATAGTCATTTTTCAACGACACCCGATGGTTTTACCCGCAAATGATGTTTTTACACGAACGTTATCACATTAGGAGCTCATTAATTTAATGCACAGCGATCCCCAATAAGCAGTACTGGTCTCAATACTGCTAAATTATTAGCCAAAAAACAGCTAAATGCCACAAGAAACGTTATTAATAAATGTGTTATATATTTTAAGCAGTGTCTGGTGGTTGTACAGCCGATTATGGGTGACCTGCCGAAAGAACGAGTTGAAACAGAACGTACCATTTATTACTAATAGAATTCTATTTCGTTAAAATCATCAAATAATACGGACAGTTCTTCCCAATTTATAATATCAAATATGGCATCGACATAATCAGCACGTGCACTTTTGTACTGTGAATAGTAGGCATGTTCCCAAACGTCAATTCCAAGCACAGGGGGTAGTCCTGCACACACAAAAAAACACGATTCAATAAATATTTAATTATATGAACAATTTATAAATGACTTTATTATCAAACCTTTTAATAATATGCAGTCTTCATTTTGTGTGCTCGTTACCATTAATTTTTTTGTTTTTCGACGAGGATCAACTACTAGCCAACACCATCCCTTACCTTGAATTGAAACAGATACAGAAGTCATTTGTCTTTTTAATTCTTCTAATGATCCAAAGCTTTCAACTATAGCGTTTTTCAATTCACCTAAAGACAACATATTAATAAATACTTGTTTTATTTTATTATATTATATTCATTATATCAATAAATATAATAATATAATAATGATTATAAATTTACTAGACGGTTTGGTCAAATGAGGTGTGAGTGACCGGAAATAAATATTGTGATTTACAATAGCAGTAAAATTAAATTTTAGCACTTTTTCTAAGCTTTCTACTTTTGACATGTCCCCTGTAAGTTATATAGATAGTAAGTTATAAATTAATATTGTAAATTAATGTAAGTGTATTAATTTACTTTTCAAAATACATTTGTTCATTTCGATCAACGTTTTATTAAAATTAACAATATAAGTGTTATGTATTTCTTTGTGGTGCATTTCCATTATTTCACGTGATATAATAGGTTCTAAAGCGTTATATTCATATTTAAGTGGTTGCAATTTTCCCTGTAAGGCTTGTAACAAGTTTGCCTGTAAACCTACTTCTGGATCTCTGAATAAGTCACTTATGACACCAAATGATCGTATTTGTACCCTTTAAAACACATGAAATATGAAATATTGTTAAATTTAAAATTTTTCTAATACATAGAAATGTTAGGAAAAACGTTTCGGAGCAAATTCGGTTATACATGATTTGAATGGCTGTAATATTTACGATTTTCGTTAAAATTTGATGTTAAAACACTTTAAAAAATTTAAAATACAATAGAAGTCATTTTTTTTTTTTTACCACTAATTACAACTTATAATGAAAATCCTGTCAAATTTTCAAGCATTTCTGTTTGATCCTACAATTTTATCCGCAAAGTATATACTAAATAAAAATTTGCAAAATTAAAATATTATTAAATGGTTTAAAAATCGCTCAAATATTTAAGAAATTTTACCGTCTCTAGAAGAAGCAAATATGTATTTTCTGTCAAATGTTCCAGTCCCTACGAATATTCTTAAATAAATTTCATTATTACAAAAACAAAACTTAAAATAATAAAAGATTTATTTTCGTAAATTTTCGTAAATCACTTGTTGTTAATCTTTTTTTCTATTTCTAGTAGAGAACGGAAAGCGTAAAAATTTAAAATAATGAAATTGTAACGCCGTAAATTTGGCAATTTTTATTTTACGTTTATTATCTGTTTCCAATACTAACTTAAAGAAGTATAAAAATGTTTTAAAAAATGACTTTTTACTAACAAACTAGATTAAAAATTTAATAAAAAAGGTCTCTTGGTATTTTCAATTTAAGTAATAGTTTCTAAAGAAAACATGAGCCGCAAAAATGTAAAATAAAAGACTGCTAACGCAGTAAATTTATCAATTTACATTTTTAGTAATATTCCAGGTTTTCATAATTATTACAAAAAATATAAAGAAAATCAAAAACCGAATTATTTACACATGAAAGAGATTAAGCTGTCCCTAAGATAGAGACAAGTACAGTCACAGTCAGGGTAATTTAGTGTATACCTGTAAGCAACGATTCTGAGGGATATTCAGTGATGCTTTGTCAACAATTTATATGTCATATTATGGTAAAATAATTAAATAGGAACAATACATTTTCTTTAATATCATTTATTTAAATTTCCCGTTTTTCCTAAGATTTTCCCGGTTTTGTACATATACTGAAAAAACTCTGGAGATAATCAAAAAAGGACTTCTTTAAAGTATCTCCCCAATATTTCCTTTTATTAAAGAGCTATCATTGTAAATCTGAGCAAAATAATGGTAGAAAACTGTCTAAAAAAAAATCGCAATATTTTATTAACATATTTCGTACATTTCCTCGTTTTTTTTTTTTCGGTTTTGTACATTTAATAAGAAAATCGAAAAATGACCAATCTAAAGAATCTCCTAAGCCTGATTACCTTTTAGAAAAGTTGCTATACTTAAATTGGAGCAAGATAATTGGTAAAAAAATTACGCCATGCTGCATCTAAAAAAAATATTACTCAAAATATAATAGGAGCCATTCCTATCATGGTCCCACGTCTTAGAGTTATAATTAAAATTTATCACATTTTAATATAAACTAGTTGGGTTATATTTATATTTTCATAATAATTTATTAAAATAACTAACGATACAAAAACAATTTACTCTCGTATTATTTATTGTTCTTGATTATAATAAATACGTAATAAATAGTTACATAATTAATAATAAACTATTGATAGTAAATTTGTACTTACCTAGATCCCATGTTTAACCATCTACCAGCACGCTTTTTATTACCGTCGCCCATTATCAATTTGTCCGCAATACCGAATGAATTTTGTTTCACGTTAAAATTGGGCTTTGATAAATCTTGAATCTCTCTAAATAATCATAATTTTTAATTAATAAATTTAATCAAATACATAAATAGCCGAACGTTTACGTTTCATTTGATATTTTTCCTAACGTCCTTTTTAATTCTTCCCGAAACTGTTCAAGTATTGTTCCCGTTGATTTTGGTCTATGCAAATTCATATTTGAACAGAACACAATCATAATTAAAACATAATATAGAACATTTTAGAAAACGTTTTTAAAGAATATTATTTGAGAAGTAATAATTAATAATTTTATACTGACAATAATATTATAATTTATTATTTTACATTTGTATACGTTTTGCTCGTTTGTATATACCATATATCCCCTTTACTACTTGGAGAGATTGTGCAACTGAAACATGTTTATTGTGAGCAGAAGTTGAAGCTCATGATAATAAATGAGCTCTACAGTGGATATATGGTATTCCTCTTTGTGATCGCAGATAAGAAATTAGTAATGATAATAATACTAAAATATTATTAATTCAATACATTTGAAATAGTATTATTAAAATAATAGGTTATCACAAAAGAACAAATAAAAAAGTTAAGCAGTACTATCTGAGCAGCGAAAAAACAAAAACAAAAGAAAATGAAGAATCAAAAGCGCAAATTCCTTAAAAAAAAATTGTTTTAAAAATAATTTATAAGGAAATTGATGTGAGAATGAAACCAAATATGTCTACTAGTTTATGAAATAACATTCCAAGTTTAGATGATCACCTAACTCAAAGTGTTAATAAAATACCACTTATGGAGGTCTCTTTGGATTACCGATCGTTAACTATTTATCTCCCTGTCCCTTTCTTGTCTTCTTCACTGTCTATGCCCCGACTGCTTTACCTGAGCGTGATTATAATGACTAAAATATATAGAATATAGGCTATGCAGAACTGTTGTTGTTAATCGTTTTAAGGAGATTTTCGCCTTAAAGGGAATCCGTTATAAGGACGTTTTAAGATAACTAATTGAAAATTAATTAGTTGTTTAGTTTCAAAAAATCCGCTAAAACTACGCAGGGGCTCATAAAGTGACGATTTCCATAGCCTACATTATACGTTTGTTGTTTTAACCACAATAAAAAAAAAACCCCGTCACTTCATTCGGGTAACAAAAATATAACGGAATGTTTACCGCGTCAGTACATCCGTTAATAATGTTTTCGCAGTGTACACGTTTATTATTCAATTGGTATATATTTTTTTTCCGACGGGCCAAAATGTATTACGGATGACAGGCCAATCGGCGTTTGTCGAACAGCGGATAATTTATTTTATCAAAATTATAATGATAGATTTCCAAGGTATACCGGGATTAATAAAAAATTATGTTTATATTATACAAAATGTACCATAAATTGTTAAATAAATTATTTTATAGATGTACTTGTACACATTTTTCAGGAATGTCTCTTCCTTAATGGCTGGCTTAATAATTTGTGCTAGATTAGGCAATCCGTCCGGACGAATAACGTGTTCCGTAGTTCTTTTCAGATTTTTAGGATCAAATCCTACAACACTAAAATATAAACAGTTACCGTGCAATATATACATCGTGTTAAAAATTCTTAGTGGAGCGAAGAAGCTTGTGGTTTTACAAAATTGTTTTTTTTTTTTTTTTTTTTTTGAAAATTTTTTTTTTTTTTTTTTTTTCTATGAACATTTTTTTTTACCACAGACCTTGCTCCGATTTTTATGTGTAGCGCATTTTTTTAAATAAAAACTGTGTGGGGAGATACTTTAAAGTAGTAATTTTTCGATTTTCTCAATAATTTTTTCATCAAATGCAAAAACTTGAACAAAAACGTAGAAAAAAGGAAAAATTAAAGAAATCTGGGTATTAGTTGATTACGATTTTTTTTTCTGTGTACAACTTTTCTACTAGCAATTTCGTTCCAATTTATAATGAATGATGAAAGCAACGTTTCTAAAAAGATATCCAACACTTTAGAGAGGTCATTATTAGATTTTTTCACGAATTTTCTTATCAAATTTAAAAACCGAAAAAATGGGAAAATATAAAAAGCGTAGGTATTAGTTAAAATAAATTACGGCTTTTTTTTTCCCCGTAAACCACTTTTCTATTAGTAATTTATTTGCTCCAATTTATAATGATAACAATTTGTATAAAAGGAAATTTCACTCGGAACATACTTTAAAGAAGTCATTTTTTAAATTTTCCCTAGCAAATGTGAAAAACTAGGAAAAAACATTGTAAAACCGAGAAAAACGTAGGAAAACTGGGATAGATTTCGAAGACAGACGGATTAATAACAAATTATATTTATAGTGTACATATACTATAAATGTTTGATTAAAGTTATTTTATAGGTGTACTTGTTAGAGGGTGTCTGGAGTTCTTCTTTAACTGGCTTAATGGCATGCATGACACTGGGCAATCCGTCCGAACGATGAACGTGTTGACTATTAGTTATTTTTAAATTCTTCAACGGATCGAATCTTGAAACACTAAAATATAAACAAATATTGAGCAATAAATCGGGTTTCTTTTATGTCACTCTGCACTAATGATGAGTGATATCATTATTATTATGATAAGGACAATAATATGTTAATAGTTATTATATGGAGTATATCCGTGTTAACAGTAAGACGGGTTAATCGTATACCTGTATGCAACGATAAACCATTGTTTACGAAAAAATGATTCTAAGCGGAATTCAGTTGATAGTGGTGCTATGTCAACAATATATATGTCATATTATTTTAGAATAATTGAATATGGTTTATATATTTTCTTTAATAATATTTGTTTAATGTTGTACCGTTTACCCCGGTTTTCCCACGTTTTTTCCGGGTTTTTCACGTTCGCTAGGAAAACGCTTGGGAAAATCGCATTGCAAGGGTAGCTGACACAGAGTAATTGGTAATTTTAGTACAGTGATTTTGTTTTGTTGATTTATGGGTTATCATGGTGATACGGATGAAAATTAAAAAACAAAAAAATTAATAATCAATAAGATATTCTGTGCAAGTTGTCCCAAAATTGAAATGTTCATTCTGATGGAAAATGAATAAATAAAGATTCATAAGAGGGCGCCAAGAGTTATTATTTTTTTAAATATAAATTTGAATGTATCGGCAAATAAGCATATTTATATTATATAGGTATGTATAAATTAATTGATATCTTATCACCGACGCCATGACTTGAAAATGGACGGACTAATATGCCTGATTTTTTTTTTTTTTTGTGTATTCGTAAAGTTATTATGAAAGACGATTTTTGGAAAATCTACCGGAAAAGTTTGAAATTCAGATGGTATTCAAGTTAAGGCATCACTGACGAAATATCGATCCTTTTTTATATATACAGATTAACAACTGAATTATTAACTGAATCGGCCAATGTCCACATGAAGGTATAAAACAAATACCGTGCCGTTTGCGAACGATAATTTGCTATTATACGGTACGCGCGCTTTTCCGCTGTCGAGCGTCTCCGCTCCCTGATAAGTTAGATTAGGCTTAACTTCCTTTGAAATCCATCAACCCTCCCCATTTAAAAAAAAATCGAGGTTTCGTTATTTTTTGTATGAAAATCATGAAAAAAATGTCATAATAGAACACTTATTCCGCCGATGGTTGACTACCCACTTTCTACTTTTTTTATTCATTACTCACACGGTCAAGAACTAAAAATGAATATGGGTAAAATAATAATAATAAAAATTGGCACCGGCAACGCCGGGCGCGGGACAACTAGTTTTATATATTTCTAATTTGTCAATATTAAATTAGTGCAAGTAACATAATATTTAATTTGTTGACTCAATTTTCTGTGGATCAAAATTGTTACATTTTATGCAATAGTTTTTTTCGGGAGGAGGTGGGTAAGGAGTGGCAGAAATATGTTGCTTCAGAGCGCAAAATTTCCAAATATGGCTCTGAAGAAATGGATAGGTCATAATAGCTCATCACCAAATAACTACAGTGAAACAAGTGAAGACCGAAAATTTAACGAGGAAATAATTGGAGGCATCTTAGGTATCCATTTCTTTATTATGTATGGATTCACCACAGATATAAAACAGCTATCGAGTTCAATATTATTATTGACCGTCCCCAAAAATCTACCGCCTGGTGTAATCGCCCCCGTTGCACCCCCTTAAATGCGGCCTTGGCTAAAGGTCAAACTCGATTAGTCATGTTTATAATACACGTACAATTTTATATTATTACCTTAATGGGAAAATCCTCTGCTTTCCGTGATCAAAAATCGACTTAATAATTCGTTTAAAAGCCATTTCAAATTATCTGTACGGCAATTGTTCTTTAAAATATACTTCGTAGTAGATATATCGGTATAGCTTGACTAAATTGTAATATTGTATCTGTTTTTTTATTTTTTCTGCATATTATACAATTAATAAAAATATTTGAAACTGTTTATTGAGTGAACAAAAAAATGTAACTCCTTGACAACGCAAAATTGAATAATTTTGTTTATAATTTATAATGTACTAGCTATTATAATAACTTTCTGTTATCCGTTATGGTTATTAGGTAGTTATTGAGTATTTAGGATTTGCGAAGCTCTCTTATTCTACTCCATTTCATTTGATTTTAAGTTTCTGGTCTGCCTGTCTGTTTTTAAGGTGGAAGGTACAGAAGTGTGTTTTAGTTGAACTAGGTAAATTACCTAATTTAAAACTTTCGACCGCCCTAAAAATGACAATTTTAAAATTAGAATTCGATAAAATTAAAGAATTGGTCATTTCAGATTTTCAAATAAGGTTTTATACATTTTAACCAGGACGGTTTAATCCAATTATTTTAACGGCTGATGCATCCAACGGCGGAATGAAAAATTATTAGCACCTTTATCGAGTGACTACGTAAGAGACTCTCCTCTTCTCCACCTGAGTTTAAACCTGACTTATGCTTCTCGATGGCGGCGAACACAACTACACACCGACCACTCTGAACCCTTGGAACTCTTTTCCTTTTTAGATCAGTTTTTTCGGTGAATTGTATCCCTATTCCCCTGCCACTCGTCAGTTCTCACAAACAGTCCCAACAAACGGCATCGCATAGTGATCTGTTTACATTTTATTTAATATTTTTTACTTATTTGATATAAGTAGATACTTTATTCTGTACTTGGTATGATTGAAAAAATCGATTAATTGTCAACATTAGGGACTACATATTCTTTCTAATACCTTACCTACTATTATGTATCTATTACTCGTATACAATTTGTATTGATAAAATAAAACTTACCACCCTCCTTTTCCCCCAGAAAAGAAATTTTGGGAGGTAATTTTTATTGAAATAAGTTATTGAAAATTAGAACTTTCTTTTTTTATAAACATATGAAAGATTAGGTTAGGTTAGGTTAAACAAAATACTTTAAGGGGATCTTTAAATACCCAAAACATCCCCCTGTGTACGTGCCTGATTTAAACCAAAATATAAAGGGTGGACAAACCATAAAACGAAAATTGACTTCGGCAACTTTTGTCTAAGATATTTCACATTATCCCGGGCATTTGGACATTGTGTTATTCTATTCTATTATTATTATGCGCGGTGGCCGGAACCAGAAAATAAAAACGAATTTCGCCGTGACGAACGGCGCGCACGGTTTACATCAGGGCCGTGGGGGGGGGCTGTTTTCGGCCGTGAAAAATTCGTCGTCTTCAATTTTTTATCCGTACGCTTCTCGTAAATTATATACGTACTTAATAATACTTTCGAGACGCGTAGTTTTTCGTCGCGGTCGACGACAATGATCGAGAATATTATAATATTTTTTAACGGTATATTATCGCGGAACGAATCCGCCCGGCCGCCATATGTGATCGCCTGGAAATACACGATGATGGGGTTATTATATATATTTTTTTATTTTTTTTTTACGAGGACATTCGAATATTTTTATGTTTTTTTTCGGGCGTCTAATTAGGACAGACGCTTCCGCCGATATACACGTACAGTATGTGGTTTTCCATCATCCGAATATGACGATGATAATATGTTTTATTATAATATATATGTATATATTTTTTTTTTTATTGAACCCGTGCCAATATCGACAACGGCGACGTCTATAATAAAAACCCAAATGCCGCCGTCACGTGATTTACGCGCATTTTACACACACACACACCCAAAATATAAAATAATAAGGCGAACACGCACTTATCCATCGCACATGTATTATAACGTATAGTTTTAAGTATTATTATAATACACCGTTCCGAAATATCGTAAGCCCGTTTTAACGATTCCATATACCCGGCCGCCTATACGGTAATTTATGTTTCCCGTTCTATTCTTACGAACGAACGGCGACCGTACATATTGTTATAATCGTAAATCGGCCGAGGCCCCGGTTTCGTCGTTATAATATATTTTTTTGCGGTTTTGTCCTCCCCGGAGCGGGGGAGATTTGTTCTCAGCATATTTTTTTTTCGTTTAACGGATCCGCGACCGCGACGACTGCTACAGACGTAGCAAAAAAAAAAAAAACCGTATTAGACATTTCCGCGGGTGAAGTCCACGGGGTAGCGGTGGCTGAATGTACAATTATAACGAGTTGTAATAATGTAACTTGGGCGTAAAGTATTTTGTTGATTGTTTTCGTAAAATTAAATTAGAATCTTATTAGATATATCCGTAAATAAAGATTATCATACTACAGTAAAGTATAACCAAGGCGGTCGGGCGATGGGTGGATCACCCCTCTTAGCATTTTTTAGTGGTGATATTTTAATCACGGCTATAGCCAATAGGTAATAAAATACAATAGTATTAATTCCAGAGATGGTGTAATACAATTGTTATTTCCCCATCACTCTAATTGAGTTCCAGCTAGGTACGCCACTGTTAAATAATGTTTTGTTATCATTATTAAGGTAATTGCAATCGTGAAATTGATTTTATCACTTAATTATTTTTTTGACAAACTATAGGGTTTAGCCTAACTTGTCAAATATTTTAGTTCTAGTCAAAAAAACGTTATCGACATAGTATATTATTACCTACCAAATAAAAACTTAAAAAAATATTTTTTTTTCGCGATTTTGACTAATAATTAAGAAAACTGCACGTCAAATCAAACACGACTTTCTCACTCACCGACTAGATCCGAAGAGCAACAAAAAAGGTGTCACGTCAGTTTTTGATTGAACCAAGATTTCTGGTAGTTATTTATATAGATATAACAAAATTTGTTTAAAAAAGCACACATTATATTAAAACCAATATTAATTCCTCGCTCCGCTCAAAATCTAAAAAACAATATACCGGTCCAGTACAATTAAACGGATAACTTATTAAATTTTCGAATAAATATAAAATAAAGAAATAATAACCATTGTTATTATACACGCGTTCCGTTTAACGGCCAATTACTTTACTCGGGGGAGGTCGTTGCTTTGAGGTGGTTTTCTTTTTTTCTTTTACGATTCATGTGGGGCGTTTCTATTTCGGTTGTTTTTTTCGACTGTCCCGAATATAATATAATAAAATTGCATGTACATATACGAAAACGCATTTTTTAGTTTTATGGCACAGCGCGCATTGTCAAAGAAAATAAAATATAATATGCTTAACCATTACGCGTGTGTAATTTTTATGTTTTAGGTTCTGAGCGGACTGAGGAACACGTATTGGTTTTACTATATGTATGTTTTAATGTGCGCATGTGTTTTTTTTCTTTCCGATAGAATTTCCGACCAGAATGACCGGAATTGTTTTGCTCCAGTCACAAAATATTAACGCCGGTTTCTATATAGTCGGCAATTTATAAAAAAAAAAAAATAATAAAATGCCGTTTGCGCGTCCACTGTTCATTTTTCTCAAAAGAAAACGTGAATAAAATTTGTCTTAAGTTGGTATTCTGGTTGATCCAGCTGGCTTCTGGATATGGAGATAGAAAAATGTCAAAATATCGAAAAACGTTTCACTATTAGATATGTTTCATTTCAGATGAAAAGTAAATCCGTGGCTAAATTTCCCGACCAATTTATTTAATTTTGATTCTTTTTTCTTTGGTAAATAACTAGTTTCCAAATCAGTCGGCAAAGTCGGTAAATGATTGAGTCCAAAATGTACAGACCCGTCCAACCCTCGAGATTCATGACAATTTATACTATTGTTTAAACGGGCGCGACCCATTTCACCTAGACTCAACCTTTCACGTTTCGCCCAAGCATATTTTAGGCATTTAAAAATTAATTTGGCAATGGGTTTTTTAATCAAATTATTTACAAATGTATTATAATATAGCAGTATATTATACATACCGTCTAATTATTAGTTTATACTACGGTTTTTAAATAACCACAAATATGAAAAACACACAATATTTACTATATGCTTGGCCTTATTTTAACTAAGTATATTATGATAATTTTTTAAATAATTTTTAGTAAAAATAATGATTTATATCATAATTAATAATATATAATTTAATATGAACTTTTAAATGTATTTATATAATATGTACCTAACAATATGTACTACAGGGTGGTCCGATCTTTATGAGTGAAAAAAAAAGGTTTTCTTTGTTGTTTCCGCAGTCCTATTTTTGTTCCTATACCAAAAATGAATGTTTATGCCAAAAAATAGCCCATTTTAAACATATTTAGAGGTCGCTAGGATTTGTAAAATAAAAAGAACAACATTCTCTTTTCAGAAACCTTTTGTTTTGCACTGATATGGTAAATTTCTACCTGGCATTGTTGTAGGAGTACACCAATTCGATCAAGTAACTGTATTTATCACTGAAGGTGGTTTAGAAAAACTTTTGGCAGTTCCTAAGGTTAATAAAAACACAAGCAAAGAAATAGCCGATGCTTGTTTGAATGTTCTTGAAGAGTGGGATTTAAAAACCCATGTGCGTGGACTTTGTATTGACACATCTTCTAAATTTTAGATTCTGAGTGGAGAGAAAAAGTTTGTGGTTTTACAAAGGTTTAATTTATTTTTTTATCAGTGCGCAAATTTTCTAGCAGAAGGCTTGCTCATATTTCTAAATGTAGCACATTTTCTGAATGGAAATCGATGTGGGGAGGTACGTAAACGAGGTCATTTTTCGATTTTCTCAGGAATATTCCCAGAAAATGTGGAAAACCGGGATAAAACATGGGAAAATCAAGACAAACGTAGGCAAACTGGGAAAATCAGTACAACATTAAACAAATATTATTTAAGAAAATATATAAAGCTTATTTAATTATTTTACTATAAAATTACATTTATATTGTTGACAAAGCACCACTATCAACTGAACTCC